CACTGCTGGGCTCCAGTGGGGCTGCCAGTTGTGAGTTGCAGAGTGACATGGCTCCTGGCCGGCTGCATGTACTCATGCCACTAAACTCCTCTCCTCTTGAACCTGGCGAGGGTCTGAGAACACAGGTCCAGAGAGAAGAATAAATGGGGAGGGGAAAAAAAAGATTCTTTCTAATCTGAAAATATAAAAATAGCCTCACAGTTCCCCTTTAAGCCAGTAATGAACTATCCAGTTCGTTATGAGCTGAGTTAGAATGCAACCCCGCACTGCCCTTCCTTGGTCTGGGCACTGCTTGGCTCCACAGCGCCACCCAAAGGAGGGTGAATACACTGCAAGATCCACCAGAGTCTGATCTCCCCTAAAAAAGCATTACTGCCCTCCCCTTAAATACAAATTAATCTTGGCGGTCAGAATTTTTAACCAAATGCTTTGTCTCCTCTGTGACGACTTAATTATCGCCAGGCCAATGATCCTCCAGGCCAAAAAAGCAAATATTAGTTATACGACATACAAGAAATCAGTGTAGCTGGTGAGATACATCATTCTGGTTAGGCCTGGGTGTGTGGTCAGACAGTACAAGAGGATATCCGCACTATCTACCCACTGTTTCACTTTGGAACGATTTCTTCGCCAACTTCAGTCTGTTCATGACCCGTCATGTTTTCAAAACATAACTTTAGAAATCTGCTAATAAAAAGATGATCGTCGCCCTAAGGAGCAAGGTTAATCTTGCCCACAGCTCTGCTGTAGGATACTGTCGTTCTTGTAAAACGTTAAAACCACAAACATGACAGTTTGCTTGCTCAGCTTTATACTGCACCACAGACAGAAGACAAAACGTCTCAATACCGGATTAGTCTCTGTTAGCTAAACTTATCCGCACAATCTGCTCAGACTTCCCGATTGACAGCAACATCCACAAGAGAATCCGCGAATAGTACCAAAATATTTTTTTTCACACATTTGAAAGTAAACAAGTCAGAAGAACAGAGTGCCGTCACACTTTTTCTCTCTCCGGACACGATGTTCTGCTTGGGGGAAATGAGGAAGTGGGGCTGCTGGTCAAGTGGCGCAAACACACCCTGTGACGGGAAATGAAACCTGCGATGGGCTACCCTTCTGATCTTCGCGTTTGTAGAAAGGAGGGGACTGTGTTCATCTAAGGGGGTCACAGCCATAGGTGACCCCCACTCAAGACAAGCATATTCTGCAGAAACCTCCCAGGGTTCCCATTCTAGAGACGGGGAGATATTTTAGGGTAACAAGAGACACTTTTCCTGGCTCTCCCTGAATTTCAGTTCCAATGCACATCCTGAACGGGATTCATGATCTTAAAAGAGGCGTCTGCCTCACAAGAAAAGAAAGCCTCATTACTTGAAGTAGCAGAGGCCAATATCATAATCCTGATCCATTTTTTTGTGTTTGACTTGATTGTTTATTGGCATCTTTTCTGATGTTCTGTCGCAGCAATATATACAGTAGTTCACATCATCAGCTCACAGAAAAAAGGATGATTCCCATGTCAGAGTTCATGTGACAGATAAAGTCATGCGTTATAAAAATTCAGGACAGCCATTTCCTTTCCGCAGCCCACCGTCACTGCCGAGGTACTGAGGAGGGGCTCCCTCGCGACGCCAGCTCGGGCCCGCGGAGTTAGAACCCGGGTCCAGCGTATGGCGCCTGCGCTACCCTCTGGGTCACGCCCCGGGGCAGAGGTCGGCGTCGTTTCTGGCATGCTCTCCGGGGGGGTCTGCTCTGAAGCAGGTTTTTATCCTGCATCATCGTCTTTACACATTTGACTGCTTGAAAATAATAATAATAATAATAATAATAAT